ATCTTTAATGGCGGTGAGAGAAGAGAGAAAGATAGCTGACTGCGATGATGACATTGAAAAAATGCAGCGTTAAGTGGTGAAAGAGTTGGTGTGCATGTGCGTGAGAAAAAACATGAGGATGATGAAGGATGATTACAAAAACAAAAATGATCTCAAAAGTGAACGTTTTTCTCTAGTCTACTCTTTAACCCCACTGCTGCTGAGGAGCAGCCTGAGCTGGCTGGGCACTCCACTGACCAGCAGACTGCTGTGCCCAGTTGGGAATGGCCGGCGAGGAGGCGACGGCGGCCGGGGCAGCTCGAGGGGCGGCGGCGGCTGGCGCCGACCCGTCATTGAGCACCTGGTATCCGTTGACGCCGGCGGAGTATTTCACCACTCGCTCCTTCCCATCAGCGTCGGTGAAGCCGTACTGGCCCATGACGGTGCCATCAGGCTGGCGCTGCTCCTCTCTGAAGCCATTGTCGGTCTTGTAGCCGAACTGTGGGGTTTTTTGTAAACAAAACAAAAATCATGTGTTAGACCTTGGGCCATTTGTCTAACACAATGGGCTTACCTTGTAGTCGCCGTTGAGGTTCTCACCGATGCTGGCGTAGTGCACTGAGGCCGGTCGAGCGAGGGCATTGGAGATGGGGTTGGCTGGGGCCTGGTAGGCGGCAGCAGGAGCAGCTGGGGACCAGCTTTGGGCTGGTGCAGCAGCCGGTGCTGGGGACCAGGTGCGAGCAGGCGAGGCGTAGGTCTGGGGAGCAGCACCGCCACCGTACTGGGCAGTGGGATACTGAACCGGGCCGGGAATCTGCGCTGGTGAGTACTGCGGCTGCTGCACAGGCGCTGCTGGTCTGTAGGCCTGAGGAGCCACTGCTTGTGGGGCGTACTGCGTGGGAATGACGGCCGCCTGCGGGGCTTGAGGGGCTGCTGGGGCCGGTGGCGGTGATGAGTGCTGCACATTCCATCCGTACGAGCTGGGAATGCTGCTCACTGGGGCGGCCTGAGGGACGGGAGCCGCTGCCTGGCGGTAGGCGAGCGGACTGGCTGCTCCGTAAGACTGCGGAACGGCACCGTAAGATGGGCTGGCGCCATAGGATGGACTGGCGCCGTAGCTGACCGGACTAGCTCCGCCTCCATACTGAACCGCTCGGGCGGCGGTGGCCGGTGATGACCACTGCGGCCGAGAGGAGGCGAGCGTCGCCGAGGCCTGTGGAGTGCCGTATGAGACGCCGCCGGTGGCGCCGCCGTTCCACGCTCCCGGACTGGGAATGGGCGCTCGGGGAATGTTGTACGAGCCCTGGTAGTACTGCGGCAGACCCTGCTGGGCCACGCTCAGGCCCAGGCACATACACAGCGGAATCTAGAGTCGGCGTTTAGGGAAGAAATTAGGTAACAGTTAGCACTACTAAAAACAAGAAATTAGCTAGGAAAGTGACCAAGTCGTACCAAAAAGCGCATTTTCTGCTTCTGTTCAATCGAAATCAAAGTCAAGTCAAGTGCACCGCACAGAGCAAGTGTNGACCACTGCGGCCGAGAGGAGGCGAGCGTCGCCGAGGCCTGTGGAGTGCCGTATGAGACGCCGCCGGTGGCGCCGCCGTTCCACGCTCCCGGACTGGGAATGGGCGCTCGGGGAATGTTGTACGAGCCCTGGTAGTACTGCGGCAGACCCTGCTGGGCCACGCTCAGGCCCAGGCACATACACAGCGGAATCTAGAGTCGGCGTTTAGGGAAGAAATTAGGTAACAGTTAGCACTACTAAAAACAAGAAATTAGCTAGGAAAGTGACCAAGTCGTACCAAAAAGCGCATTTTCTGCTTCTGTTCAATCGAAATCAAAGTCAAGTCAAGTGCACCGCACAGAGCAAGTGTAAAAAGCAAGTGAGAGAGTCGAGAGGAGCAGAGTGGAGACCGATGCCGACGAAGTGAAGAAGTGATTCGAATGTCAGGATCGATTACTACTTTTAAAGAGGCAGTGCGCGGCTCACTTCTAAGAGGACTACAGCGAAGACCACCACCACCACCGACAAGTTAGTAAGGGCAGCGGCGGTGGCGGCAGCAGCAGCCTCAGTTGATGGTCAATGCGAATCTCACCTCAACTCAACACACATAAACACTGCAGCAGCAGGCGAGAGATGTCGGACATCAAAAACAGCAGACAGAAGAGTGGGGCTCACTGCTGTTGTTGTTGCTGCTGCTGCTGCTGCCGTTTCCACCATTTACTCCCATCATCCTCTCTGTGCTCTGTGCACTTTAACTTTCACTTTCTTACTACTTTTGCCTTTGCCTTTCTCACTCGTTGAGAAGACCGCAGAGCAAAGAGAAGACCGCCGCCGATCATGGGCCACCGCCAATGGCCATCATCGTGGCTGCTGTTAATCATCAAAGCACAGATAGCCAGAAGACACCCAGCAAACACTTGTGTGCCTGTCAATTGTCNGACAGAAGAGTGGGGCTCACTGCTGTTGTTGTTGCTGCTGCTGCTGCTGCTGCTGCCGTTTCCACCATTTACTCCCATCATCCTCTCTGTGCTCTGTGCACTTTCACTTTCACTTTCTTACTACTTTTGCCTTTGCCTTTCTCACTCGTAGAGAAGACCGCAGAGCAAAGAGAAGACCGCCGCCGATCATGGGCCACCGCCAATGGCCATCATCGTGGCTGTTGTTAATCATCAAAGCACAGATAGCCAGAAGACACCCAGCAAACACTTGTGTGCCTGTCAATTGTTTGTTCTGCCTGGCAAGCGAAGAGGTGTGCACTGGCTAGCTGAGAAGCCAAGACACAGACCGAGACAGTGAAAAAAGTATGTGTGGAGTAGAGGAGCCAATTAAGAGCAGAAGTAGTTTTTTCTCTTTTCCATGCACTTCAATAAACCGCCATCCTTTTCCTTTGATCTCACTTTCACTCTCTCATCAACTTCGATGACTTTGCTCTTAGCAGCGGCAGCAGCAACTTTGCAACAATCTGCCCTCCTCTTTCCTTTTTTCCTCTCATCTATCTATCCGCCATCTAATCCAGCACACACACACTGTCTCCATATTTGCCTAATCGCATTAGACAGTACTACGCTGGGTGCGAGAATATAATTGAGCCAAATGTGTGCAGCTGCTGCCACTGCTGTTAGTGGACATAAAGTTGCCCATTTGCATGTTTGCAGTCACTTTACTGCAAATCTCTCTTTCTCTCCCCCTTTTCATGTTCTCGGTCGTTTCCTCGTGCAGAAAGATAGCCCTAGAGAATTGTGCAGCCTACCTCAACTTGACTTCAACTTGAAGTGTGCAGTGTGTGTGTGTGTCTGATTAGCCGATCATTTAGTTAGTCTCTGACACTACCTGTGTGTGTGTGTGTGTTGGTGTACAACGTCTGCCCTGCAGTATTTATTGCCTGTGCTTCCAGTTTACAGTTGGCACTGTTTTTTCCTCCTCTAGAAAGCACTGTGCTGCTGCTGACTATTAATTGACTTTAAATTAATCATCAGGTTGTATTTTCAAATTAGGCTAACGCTTGTGCGCGCACAAGTTGTTTTTCTTTTTAACTGTTTTTCCGCCTGTTTTGGGGCACTTTTCTACAAAGTGTAACTTTCGTTCAAACATTGATCTAGCCGATTGTTATTTGCAATTTGTTATTTCAAAATTTGCCCAAATTTTTCAGTTAGCATGTAGAATAGCATTTAGTTCTCCAAATGACTTTCTGTTGTCTTTTCACTATCTCCAAGTCTATTGCCAGGGTGGTAGTGCTGCAGTCAAACAAAGTATTCGCCCGGTGGTCCTTGACTGCATCGGTCTTCCTTTTTTTCCTTGTCAGCCGACCACCACCTCAATCTTCCCATCATTATTTATTGCCACTGCTGTGCGCGAGCAAGGTTACCATTTTTTGCCTGCCTATCATTGGCAAGGCATTTAGCATGCAAAAGCATCAGCAGCAGCACCAAACGACAAGACTGCATTCCTTCAACGGTTAATAAGCAAATCAGCAATCTCAACCCTTAAAAGCAAACAGACTCTTCAAAGGCAGCAGACAATCAGAGCAAGTCCCAGCTCCACTTTACACAATCGACTCTACTCTCTCTCTTCACTTTTTTTACTCTCACCTCTTTAGCCATTGTTCAATTGTATTTGCACTACAGTCTTTGTTGTTTTTGCTGTTTCTTTCCACAGTTGTAGCAAGGGGATGTTCTCCTCCTTTGCGCTCTTGAGCAATCTCAGCTCTAAATTAGACTACTGCAACTAAAAATGCGAGCACTTTCTATTTCACTCCATTTACTGTGAATTGATCAGTCAACAATAGACTGTACTGTTTAATTGATATTTAATGTCAAAGCGAGGCAACAGACACCTCTTTGGTTTAGTGCTAGTTCAGTACCTTTTCAATAGACTACCGATGATCACAAACACAAAACCAGCTCACGCACACTTGACATTGTTCTTGAGCAGTGCACATGTACGCTTTTTAAATAGTCAATAATCAAAAATATGAAATTGAATTCATCATCATCATCACCATCATCATCAGTCTAGAGCACTGTCATTAGCACTTTCAGGTGATGGGCTTTTTAATTTGCTCATAATTTGCTGATAAACAGCTTTTTTCAAGAGCCGATGATCTTTTCAGCTGATAACAATTGAATGTGCAGTGTGGGCAGAGTGAGCAGAGCAGTGACTGACTGGTAAAAATCACGACCACAGGACAAATCTTATTTGATCAAAAAGTCAAAACAGTAAAAGAAAGAGTCTCTGAGAGACTCGTGCTCGATGTGATAGATCACGATCAAGATCAGACACGAGTCTGTTCCAGTGTCCGATTAAGTGAAAAGTCCTTCTTTCTAGGTAAAAACAGAGTGCGCATCAGTGCGGGTGTATCTCAAAGGTGAATTGGAAGCTGAAATCAAAGGGCAAATGTGTTGATGGTTTTATTGCCCACAAGTTCAGCTTACGGTGATGGCTTCCCCTTCCTTTTCCACTTTCCCCTTCTCCTTCTCCTCCTCTTGCCCTCACAGCACTTTTGCTGATTCACACAGCTTCAGCTTCAGTTTTGATGGTGCTGATGATGATTAGTGTTCTAGCAGCAGATCCCTGCAGTTGTCGCACCACCATTGTCCTTTTCAGCGACCACCATTGCTATCCAAAACAAATACTACTTCTACTACTACCTGTAATAATAATAATGCGATCATCCATCATTACCAAACATTGAAAGTGTGTCTGCAGGATTGACCTACAATCCTGCAGAAAAGGAGAGCAGTCTGAAAATGTTGAACATGTTTGGAGTGAAGGTGTCAGTGTGCTGAACTTTGCACTTTCACTACACTTTCAGTGAGACGTCGTTTTTTGTCTGTTGTCTTTGCCGTTTAGAAATAGTGAAAAGTCGCGTTCAATTGTTCTAGATAAACCAAATGAGATAATGACCAGTCTTAGCCGTGGCGGTATTACTGGCTGCCAATGCCAGTGATTGTTGGGATGAGCAAATAGTAGCTCAACGGCAAAATGGTACTAAAAGCCAAAATCAGCAGTTTCACCGGCAGACATGTAAATAGAAAAAATGGTGAGTTGTAAGTAAACAACAAATCAGTAGACAAAAAATGAAAAGAATTGCCACTCCTTCTGAAAATCTAAAATATCGACCTTCACCTGATCACGCAAGCACACTCCCAACAGTGCCGAGGCAGTTGTGTGATGTTCGAACAAATAATAACAAGACAAGTGTACTAGATGATGAAACACACACGTGTTTCATGCAAAGTTATGATGATCTTTAGTAATGAACAGCAGCAGATAAGTGCAGCTGGGCAGATGATGTGTGGCACCGGTGCAAGAGAGGGGCGGGACATGGTCGAAACGTGCTCCTCATTGAAGTGCAGTTGCCGCGATTAGCAAGAAAAACTGTGAGTGGTGACCACTGTCAAGAATACAATCACCACCTATTGATGAGTCCACTGCTCTCTGCAGTCGGCTTATCTTTGCCTCCAATCGGAATGCGCTATTGTTGTACAAACGGTTGCCCATCAGTTGGTATTGCGTAAATTGTGAGCATCTATTTATTGGCTAATGGCGTCCAGTTGTTCAAGTTGCTAATTGAGTGAGAATGATGATTACACTGCTGCTTCTGATGCTGCTGCACGAGCTGCTAAATAAGAAGTTCATTTGTGAGCAAATTAACACACACATCTGGAACCACTTCTCCTTTTGTTGCTGATGTTGCCAAATGTCTCAATGAAATATGGCCTTTTCTTCTACTGTTCCTTTTTGTTCTAAAGCGGCAAACGATTTTATGAAAAACCTGTTTTTGAATCTATGACTGCTCATTTGTACTGCTCAATTTGCCCAGACACTGGAAAAAATGATCAACAGTGTGCCAATTTCAGATTTCAAATAGTAACAAATCTGCTGTAAAAAGAAAAATATAAATCAGTCTAACAATTTGTAAAAAGGAGAGCAAATGACTGTGTCACACAGCTAACGCCGTCTAAGCGCTGACGCCCGTTTAGCTCCTATTTGACATAACACCACAACTTTGCCTCTTACTTTTTACAAAATGTGTGTATGTGTGTGTGTTTTGAATCCAATGTTTGAACTAGACAATGTTAGAGTTTGAAATGAACATGTGTTTCAGTATCACGCTGACTAATGGCTCATAAATTGGGGTAGCAGCAGTTGTAGGTCGAGGTAGACAAAGCGCAGCCCAAATAAGTCCACAGCATAAGCTCAGTGTGCTCTAATTGTTCCAGTGATGTGTCGTGAACAGCTGATGTCCATTTCCATATCGATCAGCCACGGAGCTATTTGGCCTGATCACCACCGGTGAGGTGTCGGTCAAGTTGATTCAAAGCGTATTCAAATATATTCATCACTGTCAGCGAGTAACCTGACTGCTGCTGTCAAGTTCACAACTGTCAAACTACCGCGGTTCACAGCCGCCACCACAACCAAAAATCGGCAAACACACTCACAGAAATCNGTGATGTGTCGTGAACAGCTGATGTCCATTTCCATATCGATCAGCCACGGAGCTATTTGGCCTGATCACCACCGGTGAGGTGTCGGTCAAGTTGATTCAAAGCGTATTCAAATATATTCATCACTGTCAGCGAGTAACCTGACTGCTGCTGTCAAGTTCACAACTGTCAAACTACCGCGGTTCACAGCCGCCACCACAACCAAAAATCGGCAAACACACTCACAGAAATCTTTCAGTGGCAAAACTTGAACTTTTAGTACGTGTTTTTTATTGGGCTGAAAAGCGAAGCAAATGTGCAAGTGTGTGAGTGAGTGCAATGTCACTGTCACACAGTGCGGGGAGACATGCACTCGATTTGCAGACAGATTTTTGCTGCAGAAAAAAATCATTGACCACTGTGACTTTGGACTTGAATTTTTTGGTTAAAAATCGTAAGCTTGCGAGTTCTACCACGCCTAACACTTAGCGGCACAAACTGTGAGCTGTCTCTGCTGCTGCTGATTGACACTTTGACAAGAGGAGATATCGATGAAAAATATGACGACAACAGTTGTTGTGTGTGTTTATGTGTGCATTTGCCAAACAGTGATTACCATTGCTTTGATGCTCTGAGTTGAATAGAATACAGTGAGATGGCACACTTGGATGCTAATGCAAATGAAGAAAGTGACAGTGGCAGTTGGCCAGAAAACAGCAACAGCAGTCGGCGGATTAGTCTGTCTGCATCAACTCTAAACAAGGTTAATTCAATCTGATTATTCAGATCGAAAAGGATTAAAGAGAAGGAGGACTTTGACTGGCCGTTGACGTGATGCCAAAAGCTGCTCTGCTCAATATGATGTGACATTTTTAATTGAAAAGTAAACAAAAGCAGCCAACAGAGTAAGAAACAAGGGCTGCGGCTTTTACATTGGCGAAAGGTCAGGCGACTTCTTCGATGCGTCCGGCGATGTGAGCGTCTTGTAGGCCGACTTTGGAGTTTTCACAACGGCCTGTTTGCAAAACGTCGACTTTTCTTTTGCCGAACGGTGTGACTTTTCCACTCCGCTGCCAGTACCACTAGCAAAACCTTCCTCTTCCTCGGAGTTGTCTTCATAGAGGATTAGCTTGTACTGCTGCAAATCGAGGTTGCCAATGTACCCGCCGGTGATGGGGTCAACCGGACATGGCTGGCTCCTTCGGACGGCTCCTTCAGCAGCGCCTTCTTTCCCGAAAAGTTTGTCACTTTTTTCCGGCGTCGCAAAGCAGCCGTACTTGTACTGCTGGGCCAGCTCGGCAGAGATCTTCGCCATGGCTGGAGTTAGCTGCTTTTGCTGCTGTTGCTCCTTCTCATCATTGGCGAACCAGGAGCGAAGTGGCCCGTTGGAGCTGATGGACGTCTCGGAGCCGATCATTGAGGTCAGTCCGAGGCTATCTTCATTAGAGTGAGGTCGACTTTGCTTTAGCTTTATCATGCTGCTCGTAGAGAGGCGCCAACCAGGAGCCTTGCCCAGGGTGGCTGAAGGAGAATGAGGAAGAAGAGGAGAAGATGAGGTTTTCTTTGGCTCATCTCCCGGATTAGAGCTGGAGTTTTCTGGATTTGGACAGTGTTGAGAGTCTTTTTTCTGCAAGCTGGAATCCATGACAAAAAATAAGGCAAAAACTTGCCAGTGAATGAAAAGCTAAATACAAAACACTGTCAAATGTAGCGTCAACAGTAAATGATTGTTTGATTTTTTACTAAAGTTCTAAAAAATTATTTTTGTTGACATCATCATCATCATCACCTGACCGTTTAATTACTCATGATAGTTTTTTCTCTTGTCACAAGTTGTCAGCAATGCCAAGTAATCACTTGTTGCTCAAATAATTTTTCAATTTGCTCAAATTGAACTTCATTTTTATTACCACTGAACTTTACATTTGTGACAAGTGTTTGCTGTTGGCACTGTGTGTTCACTGAAATGACTGTGTTAATTATCTCCAGAACAATGTGTTTGCGTTAATAGTCGTCAGCGTGAATGTTTGCTTCCTGGATTAACAAGCACAATTATGCAAATAATAAATGCAATAAAAAACAAAGTTTTTTGTTTTCAGTTGAAGTGTAAATTGAGGAATTAATAATGACATTCTGAGCAAAAGTGAAAAGGTCAAGTTATTCTTTGCCCC